TTTAGCCCTTTTCATACTGAAGCCGGTCCAACCTAAGATGTAGCTTGCATTCATTTCGAACCAACCGATACTTGTCAAACGTCTTGTTCGACGGAGCTGTTCGGTACGCTCGCCAGCGTCTAGACCGCTTCTTTAGCAGGCCCTTTACCGCGGAATATATCCACGGAAGCTGCGCACTCGATTCCCTTCTTTTTACTAGTGGGACGTGAGGTGCAGCAATATCGACCAGGTGGGCCTTAAGTTTTTCCCAGGCTATGTGAACAGTGTCGGTCTCAGATATCACACAAGGCGATGACCTAGCTCTATCCCGCATCGCTTGGAAGTCCGCGGCCTAAATGTTCGGATACCAACTGGTAGTAGCTTGGCAAGGCCTGATGAGTGCACATTGGAAGTACAAGCAAACGTGATCGCCAGCGTTAAGAGGAGAGTCGTGTTTAATGTCATTTACAAAGTCAAGGGACTTGGCGAAAACAAGATCTAAAATGGACGGCTGCTGATTGCGCATGTACCTAGTTGGGAGGTCCACGAACTGGTGTAGTGGTACCTGCAGCGTTAAGTCCAGCAGTTCGGTACCGAACGATTCCAGAGCCGAACTGCAAGATAGATCATCCCAACAAACCTCTGGGAGTTTGAAGTCTCCCAGCACCAGACAATTGTTCGCAGAGTGAGTGCGTATAAACTAAATGATGGGACCGTTTGATTGCACTATGGCAGTTTAGTTTCAAATTCAAGTTCAAGCGGGACTGGAACGATAGGATTATCCCGTGAGTGTTCCTTCTTCGGCGGGTCGTTGAACCAGAAGTTGGCGAACTTTGAAATACTGATGGACCTAAAACAAAGACCGCATCACACCCTGTCCAACCAATTAATGCCCACGTATCCTGCCCTAGCAGTCCCTGCTGGGTCGGGTACGTGAAGTAAGAAAAAGAAAAAAGTAAACTCAGAAGGCAAAAGAGAAAGTGGAAAGAGCTAAGCAAGTGGAATACCAAGATATTTGAGTCATTAAAATAAGGAACTGAAAAGTGGTGAGTCAGCTAAGAAAAAGGAAACGCTTTTCTTTTGCCACCCAAGAGCATCGAGTTGGCGCGCAAAACCCTTAACCGTAGGTTCCCTAGCCACGTGATCTGGAAGCGAATTCCAGCGATCTATTACTCGGCGCGATAGACGAGTTTCCGTCCTAATCCTATCAGACCGTGGTTTATGCAGTTTCGGTGAGTGACCGCGGAGATTAGGTAACGTAGCGGGACTAAATAGCCCTGACTAGTCCGGGCCAATCTTACCCGTCACAATACGATAAGTGAGATTCAGGTCCCCTCTTAGCCTTCGGTAGTTTATTGAGTACATCCCCAAACTCAGCAAGCGTTCAGGATTCGTCTGTCCCCATAGACCCTGCACTAGCCGAGTACCCACTCGTAACACCCCCTCCAAGTCCATGTTGTCTCGGTTAAGACATGATGGACAAGCCTGAATACAATATTCCAGGTGGGGTTGGACGAATGCCGAGAATAGCTTCACAAACAAACTGGCCGTTAAGATTCCGAAAGAGCGGCGGATAAACCACATCATACTAAACCCTCGACAAACAGCCTTCTTCCAGTTGTCTTATGAATGAAGTGCTGATGCGTGCAGGACTCCTAACTCAACCTGCTGAGTGACAACAGGGAGTTTACCACCGCCGACAACATATCGGGTGAGAGGATTTGCAGCTCCGATTCGGAGAACCGAGCACTTGGCCCTATTTATGGGCATCAAATTTAAGGTAGCCCGTTCCAAGAGCCTATCCAAGGCATGCTAAATTGCTTCAGTACCCCCGGGATATCCACAATATTCCATAGCTTAAGGTCGTCAGCAAACATTGGTGGTGACACCCCTAGCTCCCCCGGCAAGTCATTTACATAGATCGCGAACAACAATGGCCCCAATACCGAGCCCCTCGGGACGCCACTAAGGACAGCTTGCCTCAGCGAAAGGCTACGCCCCACCCGTACGCACTGTTCCCTCCCCTCAAAGAAAGCAGACACCCATAAAAGGGCGCGACCAGATATCCCGGAAGATCTCAAATTTAGTGAGAGCCGAAGATGTGGAACAGTGTCAATAGCTTTCGAAAAATCTACGAATAGCACATCTACAGCGTGGCCACTGTCTACCGCTTCGGTCCAGCTTTCACGAGCTGCAAGTAGATTAGTCTGACATGACAATCCTTTGCGGAATCCATGTTGCGTAACACTGAGAAGGTTGAATCTATTCAGGGGTTTCTCCACTGAATCCCTTATCAGTTTTACAAATTTGACTACTACGCTTGTCAAACTGACAGCCCGGTAGGTCGCGGGTAGAGCGCTGTCACCGCCCTTAAAAATCGGACAGATGATTGCCTCCTTCCATTCCGAAGGTAGAATGCAGCTGTCCAGCGATATTGAAAATACGCATGTGAGCCCACAACTCAGCTCAGTGGCCAATTCATGCAACAGCTTCGGATGAATTGAATCAAGACCGGAAGCTTTAGAGGGATTAATGCTTTGCAGTAGCTCGGAGACCTGAGTCTCCGCGTTGCTAAATTCAGCTAAGCAAGAATCCTCTGAAATTCTTGAACCCAATTCAACCTGTGGTAACGAAGTTAACCGAGCGAAGACACCAGTATACTGATCACTAAGTATACAAGCCTTGTCATAGTCCGTTTACACACGGGTCCCGGCTGCGCGCAATAAAGCTGGTATAGCCAGTTTTGCCCCGCTGCGTCTTTTAACGTAAGCAAAATACTTCTTGGGATTAGCTGCGGCCGAGTCCGCTAAACCCTGATCGTCCTGGTGACGAGCAGTTCTGAGATGTTGCTTAAATTTATTTCTAATCTCTCGATAACTATCATAGGTACTGGCTGATGGAGCTGCTTGGTAGGTTCGCCAGCATCTAGACCATTTCTTGAGTAGGTACTTGCCTGTGGTATCTATCCATGGAGGCTGTGCCCTTAACCCTATTTTCCTAATGAGTGGAATATAGTGAGTGGAAACCTCCGTAAGGCACTCCTTAAAGTTATCCAAGGCTAACTGGACAAAGTCAGCCATCGAGATCGCACAGTTCAGAACTGAAGCCTTAGCTCGCATTGCACTAAAGTCCGCCCGCCAAATATTCAGAAGTAATTTAACAGCGGTCTCTTGATGGCTTGAAAGAGCATATCGAAAGGATATGCATGCGTGATCGCTGGACCCTAGAAATGCACCGTATGAAACGTCAGTCACGAAGTCCAGGGACTTGGCGAATGCCAAATCTAAAGCAGATGGTGTTTGGTTGTCCATATACCTAGTGGGAAAGTCAACGAACTGGTGCAAAGGCACTTGGAAAGTCAGTCCAAGGAAGTCTTCACCGAATGTTCCTAATGCTGAATTGCAAGAGATCGGCCCAACAGACTTTCGGGAGGTTAATTCCTCTAGAACTAAACATTTATTCGCAGACTGAGTGCGAATAAAGTCAAGTATCACCCTGGAAGAACTTCCAGGACTTCTGTATATCACTATAACTGTAAACTGGGTAGAGGAAGTGCACAAAACAGCCGATAGGGCTTCAACAGTCTGATCGGACGACTGGAATGTGCAGGTCCTCAACACGTCTGTTACAGTTCACATACAGCACAACGCCTCCGCCTTGGCGACCAACGGAGCGATCAGTTCAAAGCGACGCGTAGCCAGGTAAACATACCTCACCGTCCGTGATATCCGGAGACAACCACGTTTCAGTGAAAGCAAGTATGTCGGGACGAGATTTGTCTACAAGTAGATCCAACTCGTGCACCTTGTTACTTAGACAACGCACGTTGCTAAGTACTACCTCAAGGAAGTCGGCACGACCATCCGTGGGTCGTGCGCCATCAGGCTGGGTTCTGATAGGGCGGAAAATAACTTCCGGCTGACCACCTGAAAACCCACCAGACAGAGGACTTGCTCACCAGCCGCCCGTCTAGTGTTGTGATCTTTGATAGCCTCCTTTAACTTCAATCTATCTGCCATTGGTAGGTCCGGCTGAACGCTGACACCACTACCTTTAAGTTTGAACGCAAACCGCAGTAATGATTTGCGTTCCTCCGGGGTAGAAAGGACCACGCGAAGTAGTCGGGGCCGTGGAGTTGCTTTAGCGGTAGGGACGTTCCCTAAGCTGGTCAGCTTTCTGACACTAACAACAAGGAAGCCAGGTGGAAGGAGCTTGCTGGCACATAGTTTCAGCCACCTGGTGTCATCCAGGATGTGTTCCTTTGGGAGAGGGGCAGCAGATTCAGTAACGTTACGGAATATAACGCTACTATCCGTGAAAGAGTCGGCACGACGGGGAGTGTTTACCCTAAGTGCCTTGGAGTCGACACCTATACCAGCTGTTTTCACCACTGGCGGTGGGACTATCCCTGTCTTCACAAACGACGCCGAAGCAACGGTAGCGTAGGTTTTCCGCTCTATTGTCGGCGTCTTACTAGTTCCTGGGTCTTCAAGCCCCTTCAAAGTTTTACGAGCAGATCTAGTCCGCTTCTTCTTCTGGTTCACTGGAGCAGGAGCCGTTGACCTTGTATCGCATTGAGCAGTTACCAGCACTTCGTCAGAACGGGCTGGTTCACTGGCGGTTGAGACGGTCAGCATCTTTAGAAGGTTCTGTGTGCAATCGTCAGACGACTTTACGACTGTCAGAGAGGGCATCTTTTTCGATGCCGTGGCAACTAATTCTCTGGGTTTAGCAGAGAGCTTTTGGTATTTCAGCACCCTATTTTTCTTCACTTTGATCGGCTCATCAGGATAGCCAGCAATGCTACCTGGATTGGCCGGTAGGATGTGCGAATTCATGACCGCGTGACAGAATCCAGTGGATGGACCGTCAGTAACGTTGCAGTCTATCGCAGTGTCTTCAATCGAAATATTTAGGGATTTTAAAATCAAATCCATTTTCCTATCGAGCGACGCAATAGAGGCGAGTTTAGTAATTGCCTCCTCAACATTTGCCAACCGTGAAGCCAGCGCTGAAAGTTTAGCACCGGTGATAGCTGGGCGCGTCGATCTTTGAGCGCTGCGTTCATCACAGCCGAAAAGAAGGTGAACGCTTGATGATAGCATGTTGTACTGGTCAGCTCGTGGGCCGGTATAGCTTTCGTAATACCAGCGGCTGCAGACGTCACACTGTATACCGCCAGATACATCCGTTACTGGCTCTGAACAGTTAACCTGTTCGCAAGCTGCAGTAGACTCATCAAACAAGGACCCCATAGGTCCATCCGTTTCGGGGTTTAGCGAGACAGCCATGTTCGTGTGGAAAACAGAGTAGAAGTACATCACGTATAAAATAGGATAACCACCGCAATAAAACGACAAAAGCAGTGTGCAAAACGGGAGTAAAACTGGGAACAAACGGAAAAATTACCAGTAAGCGCCAAAGACGCTTTGGCCAGTACCACTTTATTCGATCCAAGATATCTTTGATCACATAAAATTTAACAATAGTCAAATTTCGTTTCAAGGGTTTATTCAAACACTGTTTTCCACGTTATTGCAGCTGAAAAGCTCCATTAATATGGCACGCCCAAAAAATCGTTACCGCGTAGTACTGACCTTCGACTTCTAGAATTGGAAGGTCAGCTACCAAGGTTAGTGTTTCCCCATATCTTTTGCCGAGGTGTCAGGTGGTTTTTAATCACGTGCAGAAGTAGAACATTCCGGGACGTTCGAAATCGATGCGATAATCGTCAATAATCGATTAATCGCTAAAATAGTGGATTTTCAAGGCAATTCTTACTTTCTGCCCCACACCTCTCCTCCTGAGATATCGTCCGAGTTATAAGACGAAAGCCTAGGATTAACTTGCAGTCTTCGGGGCTGTGTTGTCTGCCTGTCGGTCCACCTCCTTGGCAGAAGCGTCCGAGAACTTTGTTCCAATGTTCTTTTTCTGGATTCTTTGCTCGACGTGGTGCAGTCGTCTACTGCTACCTTCGGAGGTTGAAGCGTTCCACCAGTAAATCGGAATGGAGGCCAGTAGGTCTTACTTGTTCTGGTTGGCACGATGTGGGCTGTGACTGGTTTGCATGCCGTGGCCAGATCTGTGCGCCCACCAGCACATCATAAATGACGTTTCCGAGCTGGCTTTTGACCGTCCCTGGTGTCCATTTTGCATGGCCTTCCCGGTAGTCACGTACTAGCACCTGCTGTCCAAGCGTAAAAGATCGCTACTTTGCTCCATGCCGCCTGTTAAAATCCTGTTGCATTCTTCGGTTTCTTTTACCAGCAGAAGACTCCGAGCGGGGTCGAATGGCGTCAAAAAACCTGCGGAGCTTCCGGTTCATCATGGCCTGTGCTAGAGAGGCTCCGTCTGGCGCCTGTGGATTCGATGTTGATCGGTAGAGGAAAGGGAACCGGTCAACCACCTCCTCTATACGTCTCTCCCCGGTTGATTTGTGAAGAGCTCGCTTGAATGTATCGACAAACCTTTTTGCCTGGCCATTCGACTGTGGGTGAAACGGCGGCGAGCGAACGCGCTGTGCGGCGCATTGCTTGCAAACTCCGTAAACGTTGCTGAAATAAATTGTGAGCCATTGTCAGTGACAATTGTCTCAGGACAGCCGTGGCTGCTAAAGGTTTGGCGCAGTTTCGATATGGTATCATTGGTGATTGTGTTCTCCATAAGAAATACTTCAGGCCACTCGCTGTATAAATCGACAATAATGAGAAAACTTCGGCCCTTGATCGGTCCCGCAAAGTCGATATGGATGCGGCGCCATGGCTTAGTCACTTTTGGCCACCAATTCAGTACTGATTTTTGTGGCGCTTTCAAGACATTGGCGCAATTTTGGCAGCGTTTGGCTATTTCTTCTAGCCGTTTGTCCATGAAGGGCCAGTATACATAACTGCGGGCAAGCGTCATCATCCGGTTGATTCCAGGATACCCGGCGTGAGACTGCCGAATAAGACGCTCCTAAAGTGCCTTGGGGATGACCACTTTCCGAAAATAGTATGCAGTCGTTTACAATAGAGAACAAATATCTCCTCTGAAAGTACTGTTGCAACTCGGCGGATGGACATGAACGTGGCCAACTTGTTTTGCGGAACTGTGTAACCTTCAGTATTGCGTCCCGAAGCGCTTCGGTTCGTACAGCTGCTGCGGTAACTGGTAGACCGTGCAATGCCTCTGTTACCAGAACGTTGACGTCATGTTCAATCTCGACCGAGTCAATGATTGTGTCCTCATGTTCTTGCTGGCGGGCATCAATTAGGCGTGACAGTGTATCCGCTTGACCAATAGAAGCTGTCGACTGGTATTGGATCTGGAACTCATACCCCATTACGGCAAGAGCCCAACGTTGTAGCCGGATGGCTGTGTAGACCGGAATACCCTTCTTTGAACCAAAGATAGCCAGCAAGAGCTTGTGATCTGTCAGAAGCTTGAAGCTGACTGGCCGAACAACCTCCTCGTGGTGTCAGCTGGGTGGTTCGGGTTTAACCCGTTTCAGCAAATAGTTCGGCGGCAGTGTTCCAGGACGTGGTGGGTTTCGCCTGGCAAGCGTTCTCCCTATAAAAGCCACAAATGTCTGCTTAACAACACTGTGACGTGGCGGTCGTGACTCGCCACAAACTAAAGCCACTGCCCCGTGGATATCCGGATAATTCTATCCTACCCACGGACACCAATCTCCTATTCGCATATTGATGACGATATCAAACATTAAAGATTGGAGCAGCACAACTACAAGCACAAAATACACATCTACATACACATACACACACAATGACATACATACATACTCCCTTCACGAACACAAACTGCTATGGCAAATATATCGGATTTTTGCACATTTTTGATCGTGCATCGTTATGTCAAAATGGTCATGCCTGTAAAGGCGTGTCTCACCTTGTTGAGAATAAAAGATTTATTTATTTATTTATAGCACTTTGTGGAATTTCTTGACCGCGTATACTATGGCCAATGCTTCTTTTTCAACCTGGCTGTAATGCTTCTCGGCCTTCGTAAGTGTTCTGCCGGCATGGGCGATTGCCTTCTGAGATCTATCGGGGTAGGTGTGTGATATTTCAGCACCAAGCCCATTGCTTGCTGCATCTGTGGCTAGGGCAATCACTTTGCAGGGATCCAAAGGAGTCAAAACCAAGTTTGAGGATAGTAGTGACTTGACCCGTTCGAAGGAATTTTGGCATTCTGATGTCCAGTCCCATGTTCGGCCTTTGGCTCGTAGCTTGTTTAACGGGGCACGCAGGCAGTGCATCTCAGGCAAGAATGCGCTGTACTGGCTAGTGAGCCAGCAAAAGGAACGCAACGACCGTAGATCTGTTGGAGGAGGCATCCTTCTAATGGCTTCCATATTTTCTGGATCTGGTCGACGCCCGTCCGTTTCGAGAATAAAACCGAGGTATTTGATGATCGGCGTGAAAAATGTGCATTTAGCTCCAGGAATCCGGAAACCGTACGACTGTATACAACCAAGCACTTCATCCAGGCCGTTGAATAGTTCTTCTGGTGTTCGACCCATCACTATGATATCGTCTAGATATGCAGCCCCGCTAGCATGGTATCCTAAACTGCTGGAAGATGGCTGGCGCCGTTTTCACACCAAATGGCAAGCGGTTGTATTGGAATGGCCCACGATAAGTGTTAATACTCAACAACTCCCTCGAGACTTCGTCAACGCATCGTTGGAATGGGTACTGGTGGTCGTCCAGCGCGGCGTTGAGGCCAGTCGAGAAGTCAGCGCAGACGCGTACCTTACCATTTGTTTTCTTCAATGTGACAATAGGTGCGGCCCATGATGAATAGTTAACGGCTGTGATGACTGCGGCACGTTCCAGTCGATCGATTTCTTGCTCAACGGTGGACATGGCTGCGTATGGTACCGGTCTTTTAGCCTTGAACATTGCTTTAGTAGCTGGTTGCAATTTCAGTGCCGCTTTGAATTTCGTACAATGGCCCAAGCCATACTGAAAGACAGAAGTAAATTTTTGCTTCAGGGTGCGTGTCATGTTTTCGACGGACTTTGATAAAGGGTCTGGACGTGTTCGAATTCGGTTGTAGATCTGATTCAAGGGAACATCGAGGAGATTCAACTGTTCAATCCAGTCGAGGCCAAGAAGATTCAAATTCGGCCGGTCTGAAATGTGGCATATTCCCGACTTTTCCGCACCCTGGAAAGCAATCTTGCAATTGAGTTCCCCCATTAAGTTTAACACACTGCCGGATGCATTATGTGCAACTTTTTGTGACTCGACCATCGACCTATTTATGTGATTCCATGTGCTCCTGGAAATAATTGTGATGTCCGAGGCCGTGTCAAATTGCAGCTTCGTTGGGATCCCATTGCTCAGCACACTGGTAACTCGTCGTCTCGTTTTACACTCGCTTTGGAATGCGGCAACTATGGGTAGAGACTCGGTGCTATCCTTTCTAGAGTTCCCCTTTCGATAACACTTCTCCACTTTCTTCGACCGGACCTGACTGCAGCATTCCTCTTTATTCCCACGCTTAAGACACATTTGACAAATATGATGTTTGAAGGGACAAAAGCGGGCGAAACGCCATTCGCCGCATGATCAGCATGCTGTGGCGGTTTGTTCGTCGGCCTCTTGAAGGGTTTGCTTCGGTTGCCGGTCCTGGCCTTTTTCACGAGTTGCACGGTATCTGGTGGTGCGAGACCATTGCGTTCGACCATGGCAGTGTCGTGTTTTAGAGTGAGCAGCCGTTTGCACTCGCTTATGAGGGCGTTCAGTGTCAGATCAGGATCCTGCTCCAGCTTAGCTAAAAGCCGCGTGAGGATCACAGCTTCACTAGGCGATTGTAGGGCGCTGACGAAAATGAGACGCTTAAACTGATCGACCGTCAAAGAGCGTGGTTTTAATCGTTCACACTCACGGTTAATCATGCCTGCTAAGGCCCGAAAGTCGTGGGATTCCCGTTTGACAACTTTCAACCATTGATAGCGAATACCAAACTAGGATACCGACTCAACAAAAGTTTCCTTCAGCTACAACACTACTTCATCAAACGTCAGAACCTTCGGCTGTTTGGGCAAAATGTGGTCTTTGGACCTTGCTTGTTCACTTATTGCAAACTTGCGGAGTAGTAATCGTAACTTCCTGGAGTCATCCTGACGAATGAAGTCCGGCTGGAGCATGACTATCCAGCGCTTGAACCACGCTTCAAAAGTGCATCCAGAATCCGCATCATAATGGAATTCAGTGATGGCGTTCGTGAGAAGATCAACAGAACTCGCCTGCGCGTCCCGCGCCGCTACTCCTGTTGTCTGCAAATTCAAGCATTGTGTCAGATTTTCATTCATTTTTCATTTGTGCTTCCAGTTAAGCTTGCTGTTGAAAAAGCAGCTTATGAAATTGTCTAGCAGAAAAATTCATCACATATCCAATTTTCTCCGTCAATATTTGTTGTAATCTTCCCACTGGACGCAAAGCCAAAAATAACAA